GATAGATAGATAGATAGATAGATAGATAGATAGATAGATAGATAGATAGATAGATAGATAGATAGATAGATAGATAGATAGATAGATAGATAGATAGATAGATAGATAGATAGATAGATAGATAGATAGATAGATAGATAGATAGATAGATAGATAGATAGATAGATAGATAGATAGATAGATAGATAGATAGATAGATAGATAGATAGATAGATAGATAGATAGATAGATAGATAGATAGATAGATAGATAGATAGATAGATAGATAGATAGATAGATAGATAGATAGATAGATAGATAGATAGATAGATAGATAGATAGATAGATAGATAGATAGATAGATAGATAGATAGATAGATAGATAGATAGATAGATAGATAGATAGATAGATAGATAGATAGATAGATAGATAGATAGATAGATAGATAGATAGATAGATAGATAGATAGATAGATAGATAGATAGATAGATAGATAGATAGATAGATAGATAGATAGATAGATAGATAGATAGATAGATAGATAGATAGATAGATAGATAGATAGATAGATAGATAGATAGATAGATAGATAGATAGATAGATAGATAGATAGATAGATAGATAGATAGATAGATAGATAGATAGATAGATAGATAGATAGATAGATAGATAGATAGATAGATAGATAGATAGATAGATAGATAGATAGATAGATAGATAGATAGATAGATAGATAGATAGATAGATAGATAGATAGATAGATAGATAGATAGATAGATAGATAGATAGATAGATAGATAGATAGATAGATAGATAGATAGATAGATAGATAGATAGATAGATAGATAGATAGATAGATAGATAGATAGATAGATAGATAGATAGATAGATAGATAGATAGTTAAGAAACAAAATGAAACAAATGAGTTGAAATTTGTTCCATTTCTGTTTGGTCTCGGTATTTTAATCAATCTACGATATTTATAAACCGATATTAATGCACATAGCAAAATTCTTTAAAGCATATCTCATTGAATTATATAAAATTTGGATTGTGAAGATATATAGGGACTTCAAAAACTGATTTTGAAAATTTGTTCCATTTCTGTTTGGTCTCGGTATTTTAATCAATCTACGATATTTATAAACCGATATTAATGCACATAGCAAAATTCTTTAAAGCATATCTCATTGAATTATATAAAATTTGGATTGTGAAGATATATAGGGACTTCCAAAAACTGACCTTAGATATTTTTGCAAATGCGATTTTATTATTAAATCAGTACGGCCTTTTATAGGGTGGTGAGTAAAATGTTTGTAAAAGATTAGTCATAACCGGGGAAAACAAACAAAATTGGTAAATATAAAATTTAACTCCATATTTATTTCAAAATTTAGTTCTCCAAAGAATGAAACATGAAATATTGTATATTTTAGAACATAATTATCAGCCCTTTTGAACTTTAAATCTCAATGTTTGTTAATGCACATAAAAAACTTTTTTAAAGCAGATTTTTGGTTTTCCTGGTCATAACCCCAGTAATATACATACATGTATTATAAAATAATATTTATTTCAATTTCATCAACTCTCTATTTTATTATTACTACTAATTGTTTGTTTATTTAAACTTTTTTAATTTTAATATTTGTGTTTTTTATTTAATAAAATGAACCATTCAAAATAATCGAATGTGGGATGTACACATATTATTTTGCTGTTTACTAATTTATATATTTTTTTTTTTAATCATGATGATCTATATTAAAAAATTAAACTAATTGCTCTGGTGATTAATTTATCACAATATGACTAAATAAACAAATAACAGTTTTTTGTTAAACTGTTATAATTATATAATTGTTAAGCCAAAAAAAATCATATTAAATATACCAAAAATTGACCTTAGCAACTATAGTGGTGATTTTTTTTTTGGTTAAATAAATTTAACCAAGCGTAGAATTTTTTTAAATTAGATTTTTTGGGGTTTAGATTTCTTTAAAAAAATTTCCCGAAAATTATTATAAATTTGACAAATTTTTGCAGAAAATATATTAGTGTGACATGATACATTGTTACAAGAGTATCAAATTTACAAAATGACTTGCAGATTCTTGGTTTTAATCTTTTTGGCAGCTTTATGGGTAAATATTGAAATTTTGTTTGAATTTTATAAATGTTTTCATTAAATTACAAATACATCATGTATTTTTATTTAGCAAACTTGTTTAGCTGCTGTTACAGATTGTCAAAAATTGCCACCAAGAGTTGTAAGTGAAACTTAAAGAATTATGGAAAATTTATTTTAATTTAATTCAATTTTTAAGGATCCTGCTACATGTTGCCCCATACCGGAATTAATAACGGATGAAAATAAGGAGAAATGTAAAGAGTTTTTAATGGAACCGGAGCCCTCGTTTTTGCCAATGGCCAATGAAAAACCACCTTCCAGTTCTAAAAAAATAGCTCCCACTGCAGTAGGACCTCGTGATCAAGTTAATAAAAAACATCGTGGACCTTATATGCATTTGGTGAGTATTATTTTAGAGTATTATTTTAGAGTATTATTTTAGAGTATTATTTTAGAGTATTAGTTAGTGAGTTCGTCAGTTAGGTGGAAAGGAGGATGTATGCTACCTGTGATCCAAAGAAGTACACATTGGGCACTATGGGTCCTGTTTTGTGCTCCTTTATCAGTCTCTGCTTTGAAACGAACCCATGACCTCTGGACTAAGAGACTAGAACACTACACTAATAACCTAACGGGGACATCCCAATAGGATTTTTGTTTTGGGACTATAGGTTTTAATGATACTGGGGAGTAATCCGATCCAAATGAAAAAAATTTCGAAATTTAACATAAAAATTCGACGTTAAGTATTTTCTAATCGAAAATGTAAAACCCCTGGTATTTAAACTAAACTATATATTTCACTCCAATAAAATCGAACCCAATACTCTTCCTTTCTTTACAGTGCTTTATGAACTGTGCCCTTAATGATACTGGTATTCTAACCAATGATAAACTAAACGAAGCTGCACTATCGTCCCATCTGAAGAAGGTACTTAGCGATGTGCCAGATTTGATACCGGTTTTAGAAACTTCCTTTAAAACATGTTCGATAAAAGGTGAAAAATATCATGAAGCAATGAAAAAAAGGAAAAATGCGAACACTACACCAGCAACGGTAACAAAAGATCGTATGTTTCGGCCAAAACGTTGTCCACCAATTGCTAGTCATTTATTGGCTTGTGTTTTCATGGAGACCTTTATGAATTGTCCAGCTTCAGTGTGGTCGAAGGCCAAGGAATGTAATGACTTACGCAATCACATGCTAAATTGTAAACCAAAACACAGTATGGAAGATTCAAGTTCTAGCTCCAGCTCAACCGAAGAGGAGATGTGAAAACATGGAAATATGTTACATGTTTAAATTAATCGATTACTCCTTTTAAATAAAAACTAAATATAATTTATAATTGGCATTTAAAAGTTACTTCTTTTATTTATTTCCATTGCTGGCAAAATGGGACCCCAGTGTTTCACTTTCCTTTTTTTCTAATTTACAACAAATCAAGTGTAAAATTTGATTAAGAAACCAGTTATAAGTAAAAAGTCTTATCAATTTTTAAAACAGTCATGCCTCAAAAGCGCATGCTCTTTAATAAAAACCCCACCTCCAGCACCAGCAACAATCTTCTTTAAACCATTCAACTCAATAATTTTAAATCATTCGTCGAAGTACCTTAAAACCGTTACGTTTATTTGTCGCAAATATGTCAGCATTAGAAAAAGATTTTGAAATTTTCTTTAACTCTTTAAAAAAGCAAGAATTTTCCGTAAATGAAATCCACAACATTTGCAAACCTTTAAAAGATTATTATCGTTTGGAAAAATTGAAAAAATACTCTATAATCTGTATATGTTTTGTATTGCTGTACGCTATGATTATTTCTTGTGATGGCTTAAGTTGGTTTCTCAGTGCTGTGGGTAGACTTATTCTCATACAATTTTTGCCCTATTGGAATTGGCCGGAATTATATAATGCTAAGTGTTTGATTGATAGACCGTTGGAGGTGAAGAAAACTGATGTTATGGGTTCCAGATTGGGACGTTATGAAACCGAAAAGGAAAATTGTTTGCTATGTGAGATAATTGGTGAGTATGTGTTTTTAAAAATGTTTATTTTAAGAAAATTTTTAATTTAATTTCAAAAATTCGAACGTATCTTAATCTACAGTTTAGTTTAAAGGATCCTCGTGATATAGTGATTATTTTGACTGAAAAAGCTTTTGAAATTCTTTTAAACTTAAAAATTTGGCAATGAAAAATGCAATAAAAACCTTCTATAAAATAAAAATATAACAGTTTTAAACATTTTTCGAACATAACATGGAATTTTCGAATTTATCTCAAAATCGCGTAAATGTAAGAAATTGGACGTAAATAGAATTTGTTCCATACATATATATATTAATGAATCTATATGTTCTAGAGATTATTTTTAAATTTTTCGAACATATGATCGAATATTCGATATAATCTAATCTATAGTATAGTCTATAGTCTAGTCTATAATCTAGTCTATAATCTAGTCTATAGTATAGTCTATAGTCTAGTCTATAGTCTAGTCTATAGTCTAGTCTATAGTCTAGTCTATAGTCTAGTCTATAGTAGTCTATAGTCTAGTCTAGTCTAGTCTATAGTCTAGTCTATAGTCTAGTCTATAGTCTAGTCTATAGTCTAGTCTATAGTCTAGTCTATAGTCTAGTCTATATTCTAGTCTATAGTCTAGTCTATAGTCTAGTCTATAGTCTAGTCTATAGTCTAGTCTATAGTCTAGTACTATAGTCTAGTCTATAGTCTAGTCTATAGTCTAGTCTATAGTCTAGTCTATAGTCTAGTCTATAGTCTAGTCTATAGTCTAGTCTATAGTCTAGTCTATAGTCTAGTCTATAGTCTAGTCTATAGTCTAGTCTATAGTCTAGTCTATAGTCTAGTCTATAGTCTAGTCTATAGTCTAGTCTATAGTCTAGTCTATAGTCTAGTCTATAGTCTAGTCTATAGTCTAGTCTATAGTCTAGTCTATAGTCTAGTCTATAGTCTAGTCTATAGTCTAGTCTATAGTCTAGTCTATAGTCTAGTCTATAGTCTAGTCTATAGTCTAGTCTATAGTCTAGTCTATAGTCTAGTCTATAGTCTAGTCTATAGTCTAGTCTATAGTCTAGTCTATAGTCTAGTCTATAGTCTAGTCTATATTCTAGTCTATAGTCTAGTCTATAGTCTAGTCTATAGTCTAGTCTATAGTCTCGTCTATAGTCTAGTCTATAGTCTAGTCTATAGTCTAGTCTATAGTCTAGTCTATAGTTTAGTCTATGGTCTAGTCTATAGTCTAGTCTATAGTTTAGCCTATAGTCTAGTCTATAGTCTAGTCTATAGTCTAGTCTATAGTCTAGTCTATAGTCTAGTCTATAGTCTAGTCTATAATCTTGTCTATAGTCTAGTCTATGCATTAGTCTGCAGTCTATTCTACTATATATTAATATTTTATTCTTTACTTACAGATTACATACCCTCTTTATCCAACACTTCTTTTGCATTTCTTGAATCCAGCTATTTAGAAAGATCATATCCGGTTATCGTTACGGACTCCCACCAACCAATGTCACCCACTGATATCTATCATTTAATATTTAATAAATCCTTTGACTTTTTAAAAAGTACTCCCTGTGATGTTGCCACGAATCTTATGCTAAACAAATTCTTTGATATCGAAATTGCCTTAAGTAAGGCATGGAATTTGAATTACTCCTCCGACAAATGGTTTATACAATTAAGGAATTGTCAATTTAAAGCCGTCAAATCAGCGAGAAATTTCATCAAAAGACCCTATTATTATCCCGTACACTTGGAACCCTACTATTCCAGTTGGCTTTTAATGTCACATAATTATCGAAATAGCCAACAACAGCAGATTTTTTTACAAGGCCTGATAATAGTGCAGCAGTTGTGGGGTGCTCTGGACTTGAGTTTGCGGTCTAAGGAACCCTGCTTAAAGTGTCCGGTAATCAATGTTCATCTCAAAGAAGGTGAAAGTTTAATATTTTCTACAGATTTGTGGTTTCTTAGTTATAAATTTGTTAATGATCCAACTGAAAGTATTACAACTATAATGGAAATCGATTGGTATAATTAAAAAAATGTAAAATGAATTAAAAAATATATATATATATTCAATGTATTTAAAATTATAATATAATTGTTTATTACTATTATTAAGTATTAATTCTGTGTATTATATTTAACTTCTACTAATTTTTGTAAAGTACTCGTCAAACTATTAATGGCTTCGATTTTTACTCGTTCAATTTTTTCCTGTTGCAGTAAAGACATTTTATTGAATTGCATTAGTTCGCGATGCATTTCTTTTTGCAGTTCCATTTTATCACGTTCCACCTGTAATTTACGTTCAAAATATTCCTGCCACCAGCCATTATTGTTATTACAATTGTTACCGGCATTCATGGGCATATGTTGGTCTTTGCCAAAATTTTTTAAAAATTCATTTTCTATTTCTTCCATTTTGGAATTCGGTTGTGTGTAATTATTGGAATCAATAATCTCCAAAGGATATTCATAATGATTATCCTCATTGAATTCTAATTTAGGTTTTTTAATATCCGACATAGTGGTGCTGTCTTCCTCATCAAAATCATCATTTGATTTTGAATCCAATTCCACCGGATGCGGTACAACTTCTTCCTGTTTTAAATAATGTAAATTAAAATTGTCTGTGGGAGAAGATTTAATTTGCATTGGTGGTGGCTGTTTCTTAATTGGGGGAAAATCAAAGTGGGCCCTTTTACCCTGTAGATATTTAAACATTTCTTCGAAAAATTCCCAATGTACATAGCCGGAAGTGTATTTTTTACACAAATTCTTATTGTAGGTTATTAAAATATTGTGCCATTTCTTTTGTACCTTGGCCGCACTATAACGAAAACCCATTTTTTGCAATTGTCGCGTACAATGCAACCATAGGGCTGTGCGTTTTTGTCGTCCCTCTGTAAAAAGGTGTTCCATAGGTCCGCGTATGTGTATTAAAGCTCTGGTGGCTTCAGTTGTCCATGCTCGTTCATAGGGACCTCGTGGATGACCATTATTGTTAGCTGCGTTAGATGATGATGATGCATTGGCACCATCTGTTGTATCGATTAGACAATCATCGGGTAGATCTTCACAATCATCTAAGTCATCATCACTTATTTGATAGAAATCTAAAGGAAAATGTTAGAAAAAAATGGGAATTGTTGAGAACTAATATAAGATGCCATTAAAATTTTACAATTAACAAACATTAATTAATACTTTGAAATTCTTTCAAATTCATAACATGATTACGTCAATAGACTAATCTAGCCGTAGTTAGTATACTAGCACCTAAGCTAATCAGTAGAGTAATAGTGGGACTAGTCAATAGACTAGTGTCTGAACTAGTCAATGGACTAGGGAATAGACTTGTCTAGGGACTAGTGAATAGACTTGTCTAGGGACTTTAGTTAATAGATTAGTATGTTGACTAATCACTCGACCAGTTAATAGAATAGTCTGTGGACTAGTCAATAAACTACTCTGTGGACAGGTCAATAAAATAGTTTCTGTAGTTGGCAGTAGACTAGTTCATATACTAGGCAATAGACTAGTCTTTGAACTAGTCAAGAGACTAGTATGTTTGCTAGTCAATAGACTAGTCTCTGAACTAGTAAAAATACATATATAATCGGAAAGTAATTTACTACTTTTAATTCTAAAAAAGAACTCTTGTTCGAAAAAGTTTGTGCTATTTTTAAATATCATTTCTATGCCTGCTGTTAAACATTTTTTACCCTGTTGAATTTTTTTTCTTAACAGATTATTTAACTATTTATGTTAAAAACTCACCATAGGAAAGAACTGTTCACCTCAAGCAAGGATAATGACATAGACTACAAAGTAAATATATATGTACGTCATCTTAAACTAAGCAAAATAATTCTCACATGTTAGTAGCTACATATAGAAGTACATACATACATACATACATACATAAGAACACATCTATGATATACATATACTAACTATGAAATTCATTCTGTATATAAAATTTAGCATCCATTATAAGTGACCCCTACTTAATCTATATAAAACACACACACACAGGAAAACAAACTAACATATAGTAAGTACATACATATACATAAGTATAAACTTATGTATATAAAAAGGTTTATATGTTTAACATCTTAAAACATCTTAATCACATAAAACCTATAATCAAAAAGTTTTAGTAATCAATTAAAAACACTATTTATAAAACTAAGTTATGTATACATTAAAACACACACATACGTACATACATATATACTGTAAATACAATACAGGATTTGCCAACACTAATAAAAACTTATTTCTTATTTAAAACTCATAAAACCAATTGGAAACTTACTGTCACACTGCAAACTAGCAGCAGTTGTATCATTAGGATTAGGGTTTGGATTAGAATTAGTATCATTGTTATTTTCCGCCATTGTTGTGTTACTAAAGTATAATATTATTATACAATTTTAATACTTAATTCCTTTTAGTATTTTTTATTTTCTTCTTTCTTTCAGCTTCCTTTTAATATATGGCTATTATCCTGCCTGTATAGAAAATTTAGATCTTTATGGAAGCAATAGTTTTTTCTTACTAATCTATGGAGTTTTGTCGAAAGCATCTATAAACCTGTTTCTTGTATATTTCTATAATTTAGCGAGAGTCCTTTTTTTTCTTGCTCTTTTAGATCTAACAATTAAGTTTACGTATAAAATACATTGACAAAGGATGAGTCTGTGAGAGGGCTGTTTGTTTGGGTGGCTGTATAGTGGCTATATAGCATTCAGTACTCGTGTTCTAAATTCTAGTTAGTTGAATTGTGTCTGCGCGTTAGCAGCATCACTCACTAGACAGACAACAACAACAATACAGACACAGAATACAGGATATAACACAGCATCTGAAAGAAACCAAATATAAATATATGTAAGTAAGTACGTATAGAACAGCAAGTAGCACAAATAGAAACAAAACAGAATGTGATAAAGGATAGTAAAGACAGTAAATATTTAGTCATGAGTAATACTAAGCATTATAGGTAAATTTTATAAACATAAGAGGCTAGAAAGGCGAGTTATTTGTACATGTTTATTAAAATGCCAGATATCTCAAAAATGATTCAGCAAATATTTTGATGATTTTTTGTTCAGCATATCTAAATCACTGTTAATACTTAATACAGGTGTGAGGTGGGCCTCTTTGCTGAATACTATTTTCTAAATCTAAGTTTATATTTAAATACGATTTTCACTGATATTTTTTTGCGAAATACAACTGGAATGACATACTTTTATATACCCTTAATCACCTATTTATTCATTACAAGCTTTTATTACCAAATTAAAAAGAATCTTTTAAAGAGAAGTCATGGCATTCGATAAATAAAACTAAACACAAAACTTTGGTTAAGTACATTTTTCTGAAAATGTCTGCCACACACACACCGACGCCGGTAAAAGCCTAACAGTTTTTGGCGCGGTTAGAAAGAAGTAAACAATAGGAAATATTAATTAATATATGCCGGAAAATTGTTTTTTAATAGCCTACCTTCAGAAGGGCAGTGATTGTTCCAGGATTTGTCGAAATTTAATAATTCTTCTTTAAAGCTAGTATTAGCCTAGCATGAGTGCCGATCCAAACAAAATAACATAATTTAAAATGCAAAAATTAAACACAAAATTCGACTTAAAAACATAAGCCAAGTTTATCACTTAATATAAATATCTTGATTATAATGGATAAGAGCTGTTAAATTTTAAGGAATTTTATTTTTTTTTTTTGCAAGCTTTTGTTTGTAGCGTCCAATGGTAGATTTTTTAGTACACCGATAGCATGCACATTCGTTTGTGGGTTTGAAGTCTTTATATTAGTTGAGTATTTTGCCACATTTATGTTATTTTGTTGTTCTTATCACAATTAACACTTTAATTGGATGTAAATATGAAATAATTTCCTCTAAATAAAATAAATTTTAAAACAAAAAAGTTTTAATAACAAAACTGCTCTCAAAAACGATTATATCCACCTCTTCCCAAGGCAAATTCACATAAGGTGGTGGCAGTTCTACAACAAAATTTTACACAAGGTATATTAATTATAAGGTAACTTATCACTTTGAAGTGTAGGCATTAGGGTTCTATAAATCGACTTTCGAATAATCGAACAATCGACTTTTTGTCGAAAAAAGTCGAAAAGTCGAAAAAAGTCGGAAAAAGTCGAAAAGTCGAAAAAAGTCGGAAAAAGTCGAAAAGTCGACCATTTATAAAATACTAAAAGTCGAAAAGTCGACTTTTAAAGAAATGAAAAAGGTCGAAAAGTCGAAAAATCGACTTTTCATAAAATGAAAAAAGTCGAAAGGTCGAAAAGTCGACTTTTAACTAAATGCAAAAAGTCGAAAAGTCGACTTTTCGTTTCAACTATAGAACCCTAGTAGGCATACTGTCAAACTCCATATATAAAAATTAAATGAATTCGCCGATGACACTACTTTATAATTAATATATCTTGATTTTACATGTATGTATTTTGTTTTTGCATTTGGTTCACGTAAATGTCAAAAATTGTAAGTACGGCGAATTCATTTCATAAAATTTCTTGTAAAATTTTATATTTTATTTAAAAATAAAGATATTAAAATTTGTGAAGAAAATACATATATCCTGGATTGAATAAATGTTTGTTTCAAACGAAAAATTCCATTCCGGCAGATTATTTTGCAAAATTTAAAAACAAAAAGAACATATTCACGAAAAAAATGTATTACGAATGAATGAATCTTTGTTGCGAATGGATAATTCTACTCCGGGGAAGAAATTTCCAAAATAAAAATAAATACTATAGGTTTTGCTATACAAAGGCTTTCGGATATATATACTACATAAATAATTCAAGATACTAACGATATTTTTCTCTGTTTTAACGGAAATTTTTAAATACAAAGATATAACAATAAGAAACTTTGACAGCTACGGAAACCAGGCGAACTAAAAATTATCAGCTGATTGAATAACACCACCTTATGTGAATTCGCCTTGAACGATTATATCCACCTCTTCCTATACAGCTGTAACAAGGTTTATAGTACTATAAAGCTTTTGTATATAAGTCAACAGTGATGACATATTTTTAGGTAAGCTTGTAAAATTTGGAAAATAACCCTATAGGAAATGAATAACCGAAACTAACCCATACAAAATGATTTTTAAAAACAAAATGACAGCCAATTGACTGTCACTGTGTTACAGAGTTGTATTTTTCGTCGCTACAAATTAATTGTTTCCGCGAAGGACAAAGATCAAGAAGCGAAGAATTAAACAAAATTACAAAGCCTTAAAATTATTAAAAATAAGGAGAGTTACTATAAACTAAATTTTAAAAAGTACAGGAAGTGGAGCAGAAGATAAACAATTCGAAGTTTAATCAATCAATGGTAATATAAATATGTACTTATGATTTTTATATTTCGATATTTATGTATACTTATGTATTTCTTTAGAGACAACTTATTTTTACAAATTAATAGGAGCATCAGAGGACTTAAGATTCTGTGAGATATGTAAAATGGTGAAAAGATTGTTTCCATCACTTTTCATAAATACAAAAAAACATTTTTATATCTCAAATTTCATGATTTTCATGTCATTCGGATATACGAACAAATAATTTCCTACTTATTTCCAAAATTTGGATTAGGTCCCACTATGTCTTATTAAACCATTTTACCTTAAAATTGCAATTTCAGTTCACTCCTGTTACCACTAAGGTACCGTTAACAAAATAAGTCAAAATACGCAGCTTTTATGAAATAAAAAACTGTACATACAATTTAGTTTTGTTGTCAAAATTTGTCTGTTGCCGCAAGAGAATTTGACAGTTCAAATTTCAAATAAATAAGAAAGAAGAGTGTGAGTTTACCCGCTATAAATTTTTCAATTATTTGTGCAATTTTTTAACCGGTTAAACTTCAATATAAATCCGCCGCTTTAACTCACAGATTAAGACGCCGTTGTCAGGGAAATTTATTGTGCTCTGAACTCTGATGTGCAGTATACAAAGTGAAAGAAATTAAAATAAACAGTGAAATTTAAAAAGGAAGAATACGACAAAAAATTAACTGATAAGAAAACCAACTTAAAATCAAGCAACAGAAAAAGTATCTACAAATATTACCATGATAATAAAAAATTCCCATTATAGCGAAAAGCACTTGGAAATACCAGACAAACATTTATGAAAGTAGTACAATTTTGGAAGTGTAGATAGTCAGCTTCTTTCGGAATATTCGGTGATTTAATAATAATAAAAAACATAAATAACATTTGCAAAATATAAAAAAGTTATTATATTGTAGTTAATGTTTGCCGGTAAAGTGGCCTTGATGTGACTGAAATTAAAAAATAAAGTGCAATAAACAAAAAGAATAATTAGAAGAAAAAATGGGCACTTACTAAGGTTTCTTTAAAAGTGTAATTTAACAAATACCTACGAGTGAATAAAAACATAAATTTATATTTTTTTAATATAAAGTACAAAGTTCATTATTGCAGCAGTAAATAATACAAATGCTTAAACTTAAATACTTGGGATCCTTTTATACCAACATAAAAAAATAAACAAACATGTTTAAATCAAAACCCTTGCTGAAAAACTTTGCCAAAGGTAAGTTTTCAATTTTACCATTATTTTCTATTATTTTGCCACTTATTTTTACATTTTGTATATGATGTTGTGTTGTTGTTTTTTAAAGAAATCTTATCAGTTTCATTCATTCCCTCGCACATAGAAACTACTAAACGTAAAATATTTTTGCAATTACTATCTCATAATAATCACTGTCAGGAATCGTACGTTTATATTATTATAGGTACCCAATTATTAAACAAATAACTGTCACTTTAAGTAATTACAAACAAATTTTAGGATCGTACCTATTCGTTAAAAACAATATTCAAAATTTTATACATATAAAAAATATTTAAATATTAATACGACTTTTTATAAATTGCTAATTATGTACATACCTATATTAAATATATTATTAAAGCTTTAGTTAAGAGATAGTCCTTTAGCTAATACATTTTATAAATTGGCGGTAAATTTAAAATTTTAATACCTAATATTTACTAATATTTTCATTGTTGATGTTTATTTGACTTTAATTTTATAATTATGTTTAACAAATATTCTTCTTTATTAAAATTTGTATGATTCTCTAGAACAATTATCAATTTTTTCTTTTTAATTATTTCTATACATATCAGGTAAAATAAATTAATATATAACCATAGATAAAGAAATAAATAACGCGTTTTTGTAATATATAAAAATTTTAATTATTAACAATTGTACATAAGAGCACACGCATAATTTTTGTATTACTATACACGCACCCTTCATTTTTAATTCTCTTTATATTAAAATGTAAAAGCTATTACAAAATTTTGCAAAAGTTTTATATAAAATTGTAATAATACGTCGCGATTTTTAATCAGTTTTAGTTTTTATTATCAGCAAAAATTTATATAAAATATTAGTACATTATTTTTAAAATAAAAACAAATTTTTAAAATAAACATTGCCTGGCCCCCCATTTAGTGAAAGGAAATTAGAAATAAAATGTTTTGAAACATTGTAAAAAAAGAGGGAAGGAGGAGGGTGGGGGAGGGACTGGGGGAAGGGGAAGGAGGGGGGAAAGAAGGAAGGAAGGGGAAAAGAAAGAGAAGTGAACGGAGAACAGAAAGAGAACGGAAGGAAAAGGAACGAGGACGGAACGGAACGAGAACGAGAACGGAAACAGAACGAGCTAGCGAGCGAGCTAGCGAGCGAGAGAGCGAGCGAGCGAGCGAGCGAGCGAGCGAGAGCGAGCGAGCGAGAGAGCGAGCGAGCGAGCGAGCGAGCGAGCGAGCGAGCGAGCGAGCGAGAGAGCGAGCGAGCGAGCGAGCGAGCGAGCGAGCGAGCGAGCGAGCGAGCGAGCGAGCGAGCGAGCGAGCGAGCGAGCGAGCGAGCGAGCGAGCGAGCGAGCGAGCGAGCGAGCGAGCGAGCGAGCGAGCGAGCGAGCGAGCGAGCGAGAGCGAGCGAGCGAGCGAGCGAGCGAGCGAGCGAGCGAGCGAGAGAGCGAGCGAGCGAGCGAGCGAGAGCGAGCGAGCGAGCGAGCGAGCGAGCGAGCGAGCGAGCGAGCGAGCGAGCGAGCGAGCGAGCGAGCGAGCGAGCGAGAGAGCGAGCGAGCGAGCGAGCGAGCGAGCGAGCGAGAGAGCGAGCGAGCGAGCGAGCGAGCGAGCGAGCGAGCGAGCGAGCGAGCGAGCGAGCGAGCGAGCGAGCGAGCGAGCGAGCGAGCGAGCGATGCGAGCGAGCGAGCGAGCGAGCGAGCGAGCGAGCGAGCGAGCGAGCGAGCGAGCGAGCGAGTAGCGAGCGAGCGAGCGAGCGAGCGAGCGAGCGAGCGAGCTGAGCGAGCGAGCTCGAGCGAGCGAGCGAGCGAGCGAGCGAGCGAGCGAGCGAGCGAGCGAGCGAGCGAGAGCGAGCGAGCGGAGCGAGCGAGCGAGCGAGCGAGCGAGCGAGCGAGCGAGCGAGCGAGCGAGCGAGCGGAAGCCGAGCGAGCGAGCGAGCGAGCGAGCGAGCGAGCGAGCGAGGAGCGAGCGAGCGAGGAAGCGAGCGAGCGAGCGATCGAGCGAGGAGCGAGCGAGCGAGCAGAGCGATGCGAGCGAGCGAGCGAGCGAGCGAGCTAGCGAGCGAGCGAGCGAGCGAGCGAGCGAGCGAGCGATCGAGCGAGCTAGCGAGCGAGCGAGCAAGCGAGCGAGCGAGCGAGCGAGCGAGCGAGCGAGCGAGCGAGCGAGCGAGCGAGCGAGCGAGCGAGCGAGCGCGAGCGAGCGAGCGAGCGAGCGAGCGAGCGAGCGAGCGAGCGAGCGAGCGAGCGAGCGAGCGAGCGAGAGCGAGCGAGCGAGCGAGCGAGCGAGCGAGCGAGCGAGCGAGCGAGCGAGGAGCGAGCGAGCGAGCGAGCGAGCGAGCGAGCGAGCGAGCGAGCGAGGAGCGAGCGAGCGAGCGAGCGAGCGAGCGAGCAGGAGCGAGCGAGCGAGCGAGCGAGCGAGCGAGCGAGCGAGCGAGCGAGCGAGCGAGCGAGCGAGCGAGCGAGCGAGAGAGCGAGCGAGCGAGCGAGCGAGCGAGCGAGCGAGCGAGCGAGCAGCGAGCGAGCGAGCGAGCGAGCAGCAGCGAGCGAGCGAGCGCGAGCGAGAGCGAGCGAGCGAGCGATCTATCTATCTATCTATCTATCTATCTATCTATCTATCTATCTATCTATCTATCTATCTATCTATCTATCTATCTATCTATCGTCTATCTATCTATCTATCTATCTATCTATCTATCTATCTATCTATCTATCTATCTATCTATCTATCTATCTATCTATCTATCTATCTATCTATCTATCTATCTATCTGCCTACCTTCCTACCTAGTTTCAGTTTTTATTGTTAAAAAAATGTCCATATGTACTACAAATTTCACTTTTAAAATTTGTTTTCTATACAGTACATTTGCACAATATGTAGCCTACTTAAATATAATTATATATAGAGCGAAAAATGTGTAGAATTTTACTTTCGCTTTTTAATCTTTACTAACTAAATGTAATACTATGTACTTGCCTTTTAAAAGCTATTAATAGAACCGTACCATTGAGAATAATTGCGACTTAAATGCAAAAAAATGCGTTTGATAACAAAATTCTAAATATGTAATAAAAAAAGCAAAACAGAACGTTATGTTCGAATCTTAGACTCCCTTTAGATCATGTAATGAATAAAGTTGAGTATTTCGTGTTTTATGGGTAAATCTTAAACAAAAATCATAGAAATTTATCTATCAATTTAAGATGAGAACTCTGTAAGATGATAAATATTTAGAATATTATTCCCTTTTTTATAAAAATTTGCGGGAATGACTACAAAGTGTTTTTAATCTTGTTTTTTGTTTTTTTGTTAAATCTATTATTGCAATTTTCAATAAATATTATTGACAAAACACAATCAAAAATCTATTGTTTTTATATAATTGCGTAGTTTAACGCAATACAATATGACTTATCAAAAGTTTTAATTTTTAGAAAATATTTTGATAAAGTTCACATTTCAAAAACCTTTAATTTCAAAATGTTTATAAAATTAATAAGCAGACTTAGCACATTTACCACAATAGCTACATACATACATATGTACATATTCAGTATCAAATAAATATTGTAGCAAGAAAACAAACAGAATGATAAATTTAAATCCTTATCACCATTCTGAGGGGTATGATGATGATCACCCATAATAATGTAAACAATTTGTGTGCTGAGACTTTTCACGAGACTCTAGAAATGCTTAAGTTTAAAAGAATAAAATACAATATAACAATTTCATTGTATTTGAATTAAAATAAATTAACCTAATTTATCTTTTATTATTTTTAGAATTTGTTTGTCTACGAAAATCTAGTTCTAGACCAGTGCCTGTTGATCCTGCTAACTTTAAATTACAAAGAGCTTTATTAATATCGAAACTATCACGCTATGAATTCGAACAGTTGCGACATCCTCATCTCAGTAAGGAACAGCTGGAGAAGAAAATACGAAATCGTGGTACAGATTTTGAAACATTAATGTATTTACATAATCTTCACAAAGATTTTGAACGTAAAATTGTACGTAGTTTTCAAGATGTGGGCTGTGAGGTTAAGTTAGCAAATCGGTGAGTTTGTTTTATTCCCACAGACAAATTTTTATAATCATATGTTAATTGTTTCATTTAAAATTTCTTTGAAATATGCGTTTAAATTGGTTCACATTTTGTTTCGTTTCTCATTTTAATGTTGTTGTATTTACTGTGTAATTATAAAACAAATCATTACAATCCACCTACATACAACCGTGTGACTTGCGTGTGTTGCTAAATTTAATGCCTTTAATCTAATCAGAGTCGAATTTAGAAGCTCCCTAAGCAAGGATGTTATGCGTTGGGCTGATGTTATTGTACCCATAGGTGGTGATGGCACATTTCTTTTGGCGGCTGGTCGCGCCAGTCCACTATTTGCCCAGTCTCAACAGAAAACTCCTATAGTGGGCTTTAACTCCGATCCCCAGAGATCAGAGGGCCGTCTAATGTTGCCAAAACAATATTCCGAAAATCCCGCGGATGCTGTGGCCAGAATAAAGAGTGTAAGTTTAAGAAATGAAACTTGAACTGAACTAGAACTGAACTAGAACTGAACTCGAACTGAACTAGAACTGAACTAGAACTGAACTAGAACTGAACTCGAACTGAACTAGAACTGAACTAGAACTGAACTAGAACTGAACTAGAACTGAACTAGAACTGAATAGAACTGCACTAGAACTGAACTACTGAACTAGAACTGAACTAGAACTGAACTAGAACTGAACTAGAACTGAACTAGACTGAACTAGAACTGAACTAGAACTGACAGACTACTAGAACTGAACTAGAACTGAACTAGAACTGAACTAGAACTGAACTAGAACTGAACTAGAACTGAACTAGAACTGAACTAGAACTGAACTAGAACTGAACTAGACGAACTAGAACTGAACACTACTAGAACTGAACTAGAACTGAACTAGAACTGAACTAGAACTGAACTAGAACTGAACTAGAACTGAACTAGAACTGAACTAGAACTGAACTAGAACTGAACTAGAACTGAAACTAGAACTGAACTAGAACTGAACTAGAACTGAACTAGACTAAACTGAACTAGAACTAGAACTGAACTAGAACTGAACTAGAACTGAACTAGAACTGAACTAGAACTGAACTAGAACTGAACTAGAACTGAACTAGAACTGAACTAGAACTGAACTAGAACTGAACTAGAACTGAACTAGAACTGAACTAGAACTGAACTAGAACTGAACTAGAACTGAACTAGAACTGAACTAGAACTGAACTAGAACTGAACTAGAACTGAACTAGAACTGACTAACTAGAACTGAACTAGAACTGAACTAGAACTGAACTAGAACTGAACTAGAACTGAACTAGAACTGAACTTGAACTGAACTTGAACTGAACTAGAACTGAACTAGAACTGAACTAGAACTGAACTAGAACTGAACTAGAACTGAACTAGAACTGAACTAGAACTGAACTAGAACTGAACTAGAACTGAACTAGAACTGAACTAGAACTGAACTAGAACTGAACTAGAACTGAACTAGAACTGAACTAGAACTGAACTAGAACTGAACTAGAACTGAACTAGAAACTGAACTAGAACTGAACTAGAACTGAACTAGAACTGAACTAGAACTGAACTAGAACTGAACTAGAACTGAACTAGAACCGAACTAGAACTAAACTAGAATTGAACTAGAACTGAACTGATCTATCCATCAACTATCTGGACTTGGAATTTATATTTAATTATAACTGTCTTCTTTTCTTAAGGGTGATTTTCAATGGATGCATCGTTCTCGCATACGCACTACACTGCTGGGCAGTAATGGCAAAATTCCCGAGTCAACCGATTTGTATCGTCATACTGTCACAAAAATGGAACAAGAAAAGACTGAACCCGAATATTTGAGTAAGGAAATGTCACGAAAATATAAAGCCAAAATGCAAAGAGTTCTACCATACTTGGCCTTAAATGAAGTATTCATTGGTGAGACATTATCGGCTCGTGTCTCGCATTTACAATTAATTGTCGACCATCAAGATGTGGTCAATAAAACTAAATGTTCTGGATTGTGTGTAAGCACTGGCACCGGTTCCACATCATGGCATACGAGGTATATATTATATGGAAATCTATGAATTTTTAAATTATTAACTAAGTTTTTTTTAGCATTAATCGTATAAGTAAACATCATGTAGAGGGACTCTTCAATATTTTGCCAGACAATGCAAAACAGGCTTTAAAAGGTCTTAGTGCCGAACAATTGGCACAAACATACAATCAAAATTTACTTTTTGCACCTGGTGTGTGATTTTCAAATATATATTTTTAAACTCTTCTTTTTAACTTTTGTCTTTCTTTTGCAGATGATTCAAGAATCTGTTATTCTATAAGAGAACAAATTTGTGTTGGTGTTTGGCCCTCACCCAAAGAATTCGAATCGAAAAGTTTTGTTAAAAATTTATTTGTTAAATCTCGATGCATCGATGCGAGTAAGTACACAATATTAAACAAAATAACAATTATTCTTTATGATTCTCTACATAATTTAAATATTCATAAAATCTTATTACTTGTATGGTTAATTTGGTTTGAAATGCCAACATAAATAAGCCCACAATAAATATAGTAGCAAAATCCTTAAAAGGCACATCCAACTCAATCATAGACCATACGATTTCACAAATATTCTCAGCCACCGCTGTTAAGGTATAAATATTCCATAAAATACAGGGCAAAAGAAAATTGCGGTTTTTACGTTTAGCTTCCAATAACGGCAACACTGCTAAGGTATTCATAACAATAGTTAGAAAACGATAACAAAAACCAAATTTCTCTAAAACCTTAGGCTCAATTAGTTCATGACCTAAACGGTTGGCTAAGTCAGAGTCTTATAAAAAAAGGAATTTAATTAGTTTATAATGGTAATGTTAGAAAACTTATTTACCTCGAAATTTATAATTCCAAGCTACATCTTGATTAGCTATCAATAAAACAATAACATAATTATAGACCAATAGCTTTAAACAGCTTGTTTGAAATTCAAATGTTAATGAAGTGTTCTGGAAATGGGGATTTGTTGAGAATGAATAGTTTTAAATAAGTGGACTTCTTACGCTTAATATTTTCTGCATTATTTTATAGGTTTATTAGCTATAGATTTAAAAGCTTGCGATTTTTAAATCGTATAAAAATTAATTTTGGAAAAAAAAAAAATCAATGAATTTTCTATTTTTGATGAGTTTTCAGTACAAATTCAAATTATTGAAAAAATACTGATACATTTTCTATTTTTTGATACATTTTCTATTTTTAATGAATTCGAGAAGGTACATACATATCGGATTTGAAAAAATCTATAAAATTTCAGTGCAAAACAATTTTTCAAAAAAAATAAGAAATTTTCTATTTTCGATAAATTTTTGGTACAAAATCGAACCTTCAGTACAAAATCGGATTTTCATAAAATAAAACTATACAAGAACTAATCTATCTATCTATCTATCTATCTATCTATCTATCTATCTATCTATCTATCTATCTATCTATCTATCTATCTATCTATCTATCTGTATATCTATCTATCTATCTATCTATCTATCTATCTATCTATCTATCTATCTATCTATCTATCTATCTATCTATCTGTCTGTCTATCTATCTATCTATCTATCTATCTATCTATCTTTCTATCTATCTATCTATCTATCTATCTGTCTATCTATCTATCTATGTATCTATCTATCTATCTATCTATTTATCTATCTATCTATATCTATCTATATATATATATATATATATATATATATATATATATATATATATATATATATATATATATATATATATATATATATATATATATATATATATATATATATATATATATATATTTAACTGCCGGTTTCTCCAAATGCGAGAGAACATTTTCTTTCTTACAAATATATTGCAAAAAAAAAAATAATATTGAAAACATCAAATAAATTTAAAATTTTGTTTTGTTTTCAATATATTTATAAGAAAGAAAATGAAGTTTCGATATTGTGAAACAGGCAGTAAGTTTCAATAAAAAACAATTAAATATCGATGAAGATCCATGTTTTTCAATAAAAAATCTAAATTTTGATAAAATAATTTTTTTAAAGTTCAAATTTTGACTAAAAAATTTCTTATTTTATAACTAGTTTATGCAAATGTAATTAATAATATAATTTCTTGTTTTTCATAGATTTGGTTATTGATGGCAGCATTTCCTATCCCTTTAATGATGGTGCTAAAGCTTTATTAGAAATCCATCCACAAGATGCTTTGCTAGCTATAAGTTTGGACTGATTAAAAACACAACTATATATACATATATCTTCTATCTATAAAACGATAAGTGTCTTATTAATAATTTTTAAATTGTATCCCTTTACTTTTCACTTCCATATACACATTTTTTATTAATGTATTTAATGATTTGTAATTTAGAAAAAAAAAAACAAAAAAATGGGTTTTCCAAAAATCCGTTATTTTTATCTAACTATAAGTTTATTTTAAGTTTAAAATTACATAATAAAAATATTAAAAATATATAGTTACAGTCATAGAATAATAAATATACCTTTTCTATGGTTACAGTTATCATGTTTTTTTCGCTCCAGCTTTTTTAGTTATTAAAAGTTTTTTAGTTTTTTTATTTGGTAAAGCAGTTTGTTGGAAACGTTTATCAATTTTCTTTTTCTTTTGTGCCAAGTTTGAGGGTTTAGTTTGATCGGATGTGGAAGCATCTGCAGGGTTTTTCTTAGGTTTCTTTTTCTTTTCGAAACGTTGGGTATCTACCGATTTAAAGCGTTCATCTTGTATGAGAGTAGAAGGTTCTTTGTTTTGTAGTTCCTGAAGACGTTCTTTACGTTGACGTTTAATTTCTCGTAATTTATCTTTTTGTTTTTTACGGTAACTGTAGGACGTAACGAAGGGTAAGTGAAAGATAATAAAAAAATAGTTATTAGTTCAGAAATACTTACAGATTTTCCATTTCATCTGGATCCTTGCCCTCAATAATCCATTGTTTTCTTCTGTAGTTTTGTGCCCTCTCATCAAAGTCATTATTATCCAATTGTATTTCTGATTCACGTCTCGAAACGTTAACTTGCATGAAAATGCGTTCCACCATTTTTTCTAAAATTGAAGTCCAGAAATAAATATCACATGGTTTTAAATGAAATATATCACTTACGATCTATGGGATGTTCCGTTAATTTCGTATTAATGGCCTCTTCAATTTCACCCAATAGCTCTAGATCACGAGGAAAACGAAATATTGATATGGCCATACCTTTGCGACCAGCACGAGCCGTACGTCCTACACGATGTATATACTCCTTAGGCGTCCTTGGTAAACGATGATTGATAACTAATTGAACACTTGGTATATCGAGGCCACGGGCTGCCACATCGGTGGCAATTAAAGTGCGTACATGTTTCGATTTGAAACGATTTAAAGCTGCAACTCTTTCCTTTTGACGCATGAATCCATGCAGACATACATTATCGATGCCAATGCTATTTAAAGTCATGGACAATAACTGGCAGTATTTTTTGGTATTGGTAAAAATCATAACATTGGAATTTTCATCATCTTCTCGATACTTGCGCAGAGCTTCGATTAAAACCATATCACGATCATAGTCGGCACATAGCAAATAACGTTGATCTAAGGTTTCCACAGTGGCGGTCTGAAACTCTTCCGACCATTCCAAACACTAAATGAGTAAAGCAAATAAATAAAATTGTTTCGTTTCCTGATTATAAGCAAACACTTACATCTTTTGCTATGGGAAATATACTTGATTCTTTAATGAAATCCTTCATAGTGGCGGAGAAGAATAGATTCTGTCTTTCCTTAGGCAGGCAACTTTCAATAACTTTGAGACTTTCATCAAAATCACCATTTAACATACGATCAGCTTCATCCACTACTAAAAATTTCAGATTATCGAATGAAAACGTATCACAGCCAGTTAAATGATCTGCCAAACGGCCCGGCATAGCCACAACAATATGAGGTCTTTGCATTAACTTTTGTGCCTCTATGATTTGATCAGTACCACCCGATACTACACAAACACGTACACCCATAGGCTGGCCAGCCACTAAAAATTGCTCGGAGATCTAAAAAAACATATTAATAGACATTAAAACAACATTTAATTAGTTTATAATCAACCGCCTACCTGATAGGCCAATTCATGTGTAGGAGTTAACACCAAAGCAAAATGACTGGTAGGTTCTTCACTCAGTTTTTCCAGTATGGGCAAAGCAAAGGCAAACGTTTTACCCGATCCAGTTTTTGCAGCTCCTATACAATCTTTACCCTCTAATATAGCTGGTATACAGTTTTCTTGGATAGGAGTAGCCTGTTTAAGACCTAAAAAGAAAAATTTGTATTTTGTATCTCATTTTTCTTCTTTATCTTTATTATTTACCCAATTTAGTTAGCTGTTTTGCTAACCAAGGTCTTAAACCCAGTTGGGTAAAAGGATTCGTTTCTTTTCTTAACATTTTGTGCTAAAATATTAAGAAATTCCTAGACTTTTCTGCTAGAAAATATGAATGTAAATAAAAGAAAATAATAACAAAACAACGTGCTCTGTTTTTTGTTCGAGAGAGAGTGTCAAAACACATGTTAGAGTTACCAGATATATAAATTTACATTTTACAGCGATTTTTAGTATTTATTATATAATTTTACTAACTGTTCTTAATAACCGAATTTCAGTAAAAATAATTCTGAAACGAAACTCTTAAAAGTGAAAGTGGTTTATTTTGAATGAAATTAATTGGTATACGTAATAACAGAGGCAAAAATTTTATAATTTCTATTTAAAAAGTGTTATTAGCAGATTTTGTTAATATTTTTAATCGAATTCGAAATTTTAAAAATTTTAACGAACGAATTTTCAATAAAAAATTTACCCCTTCATTTTATAAAACGAAACGACAAACGTTCAAAAAAATTGTATGGAAAAGATTCAAATTTTCAAAAATTTCCCAGTATTCTTCATACATATTTTTTACGTTAACGAGAGTTTCGTTTTATAAAATGAGGGGGTTAATCTGTGTAATTAGAATTTTACTTACAAAATCGAGTTTATGATACAAATAGAATACAAAAACCATTATTTAATTAATTTTCAATAAAAATATTTTCAGAACAAATCAAGTTTATGATACAAAATAGATTTTTTAAATCCATTATATTTTTGGAACAAATCGAGTTTTTTAATGAAAAAAATAATTTTTTGAAGATATGTATTGGTAAAAAAAAATTCAATGAAAAATTAAAATTTAGTTTAAACCTAATTTTAGGTAAAAAATCTAAGTTTTGATAAAAATTAAAACTTCCGATATAAAATTCCGCAAAAATTTAATATTTGATTTAATTTTTCGCAAAAACAAATTCGATAATAAAATGAATTTTTAGTAAAAATTCTAATTTTCGATGAAAAGTTCAAATACTGATAAAAAAAAATAATTTTCGATAAAAACCATAATTAGAATTTTAAGTACGATAATCGATTTTTTCCGTTAATTTAGATAATTCCGCAGAAAATCAATATTACGGTTTAAAAAAAAACGAATTTTTAGCAAAATATCGACTTTTCGATGATAAGTCCAAACTTTGCTGAAAAATTTGTTTTAATGAAAAATCGACTTTAATAAAAAATTTCAATTTATATAGAAACTATATTTTGAATCCTAACTTTTTTACTGGTTAAGGTAAGTTTATTTTGAAAAATTTCACTCTCCTATCCAATCCTATATGAATATATTTCTGGCTAATTATTTTATTATTATTTTTGCCAGATTTAAGTTCATTCAATAGATACACGAATTTAGTTAAATCTTGTAAGAATTTTATAAGGAACCAATATTTCTGTGTTACAAAATTAATATTGGTATCCTCATCATTTTAGATATTGGGTATTCAAAATAAAAAATTATAGATTCAAGTTTTTTAATAAAATTTATCTTAAAAATTTAATTTCCTAAATATTTTTTAAAAATCGGATCCGACTTTTAATTTAAAATACAATTTTCGAAAACATAATTGCTTTCTCATTAGATGTATGGTTTCAGTATTTTAAAAAACTATTCCCAGCAAAAAGGTTTTGGATTGGTTTGATTGGTAGTGGTAAATTTTATGAAATATGTAGTTAATAATTCGATTAAGTTCTAATTTATATTCTCTATACAAACTCTAATTTTGAAGTCTAAAAATTTTGTGTAATTCTCAGACAAAGACAAAAGGTGCATTATCTTCCTTAAAAATTAGACAGAGACTTCCAAATTTGAAAAAATGTTCTTCAAAAATAAAATTTACAACGAAAACTTTGTTTTGTGAGTTTACATTCAAAATAATTTGAACTTTTTTCAATTTATTTTACTTAAAATACAAAAAAACATGTGTCCACTTGTAAACATTTCATTGGAAATGATTCGAGCATCACTCCAAAAACATAAATATTTTTGAAATTGGATGCTGTTAATAATGTATAAAAGGCAAACAACATTTACTTCTTGGCGGCTTGACCGATCTTGGACTTGGCGGTACCACGGACCTTCTTCATTCTGTTGCGACGTTCCTTGCGTTGCTTGCGGGTCTGTTTCTTGATTTCCATAAGACCATGACGGACCAAACGGTATTTGGGTTCGAATTTCTTGGCAAAGTCCAAGGTATCGTAGATCAAGGCAAAGCCAGTGGAACGGCCGCCACCGAAAGCGGTACGGAAACCGAAGACAAAGCACACATCAGGGGTAACTTTGTACATGGCAGCGAGCTTCTCACGGATTTCGGTTTTGCTGACGGAAGCCAAACCGGGGTGGATGACATCGCAGACCATTTGCTTTCTGCAAAGCAAACGGTTGGTCATGAACTTGCGTGTGCGGATAGTGGCGGTAGTACCAGACATATTTGATTTCTATAAAAAGAGTGAAACAAAAATAAGACAAAAATTACCAAAATTGTTTATAAATTTTTCTTTACGTTTAATAATTTTCAAATGCTTTCAACATAACCTCCAAATAATATTATCAATAAGCAAAGTGGAAATGAGAACTGTCACTTCAGTGTGCGTCTGCATGAGAATATGAGACTCCACGTGTTGCTCGAATTTTCATTAAATTTAAAAAGCATTTTTCACCAATTTATTACAGGCGATTATGTTTTCAACATTTCTGGTTTAATTAAACATATTAATTAATAATTTTTATAATTTTTTACCTGTTAAAACACTTAAAAAGTATTAAAACACGTCTTTAGTGCAGACACAAAATTTTAAGAAAGAAAGATGGCCGTCGCCACAGTTGCAAAAGAGCTGTCATTTTCAACATAGTTGCTTAAATGGGTACTATTTTTCCCATTACAATCACAATGTGTTTTAAAAACAGAGCTGTTCTCGATATTCTAATTGGAAAGTAGATTATTGTGAATGTTTTAGTTTTTATGGTATATTTTCTGAGAGTTTTGTGAATTGAGTTTTGTGAATAATTGAGTTCCTTTTGTGATTTGTCGAAGAGTAGATGTACAATATTTATTTGAAGAAAAAAAAAAAAAAATAAAAATTCATTATTAATAAAATACAACAAATAATTGTGTGCTCATAATAATTAAAAACGCCGCTAAGATATAAACAAAAAAAATACGGAACCAAGTAAACCTTGTATAAAGTAAGTCGAAAATTCCATTGGAAAAACAAAGAAAATTTTCTACTGCATGAACATTTTGATTTTAGAAATTACGATAAAATTCTCTGTTATGTAAGTTAATGGTTTTGTTAAAGGGGGTTAAATGCCACATAGAGATAAGGTTTTGGGTCCTTTTTCTAAAGTATATAATATATTATTCGATTTAAGGAAACTTTTCCTAAAAGCTAAAATGTCATTTTGCAGAAATGTTTTTTTCTTCTTTTGCCATGGGAAGAAAGTCACAACTACAAAAACAAAACACGTTTTACCGTATATTTCCAGCTGTAGAGTGTGGCTGCAGTGACGTCTGTCTGCTTTTGTTTTGTTTTTTCTAGTTTTTTTGTGTGTTTTGAGGGGGTTTTTTGCTTAGATTTTTTGCTGGAATTTAATAGTTTGTTTATTTTTTATTATTTCTAGATTTTTATCCACACTGAATATTTAAATAAAGGATTAAGTAAAACATGAGAACTTCTACTGTTGGCCGTTATGCTTTGCGTTTGACTTTTGGACAGGTAAGTTGCCAAGAAACGTCTGTTTGTTGTTTTTACGTTTTACTTTTAATTTACTTTTTGCAAAAACAAAACTTGTTGTCATTGACACTTGGTGTATTTTGTGTGATAATTTTGCTAAATGTTTTGTGTAAAAATATTATTGAATCGAAAGTGTTATTGTTGTGCTTTAGTACAGAGAATTTAATTTTCAAAGAAATAAAAAATAAGAATTTATGATTGGAAATAATTTAAATAATTACGTGCAAGATCCAAAATATCCAAAAATATTGGACAAATTTTGTTACATACTTTTTTTTTGGGAATTTCGATCATATTTCTAGTCTATAAACTAGTCTATAAACTAGACTATATACTAGACTATATACTAGACTATGGACTAGGCTATAGACTTGACTATAGGCTAGACTATATATTAGAGTATAGACTAGACTATAGATTAGACTATAGACTAGACTATAGATTAGACTATAGACTAGACTATAGACTAGACTATAGACTAGACTATAGACAAGACTATAGACTAATAACTTATTATTAGTCTAGAAGTGTGAAAATATCATGGGGTACCACTGTACTAAAAGAAAGTATAGAAAGAATATAGACTAGACTATAGATTAGACTATAGACTAGACTATAGATTAGACTATATACTAGTCTATAGACTAGACTATAGACAAGACAATAGACTAATTACTTATTATTAGTCTAGAAGTGTGAAAATATCATGGGGTACCTCTGTACTAAAAAAGGCCTGATTCAGAATATGACCGCAGAACCGCAAACTAAAATTAAAGAAATTATCAAAAAACATTAACAATGTTGATTCGAAGAATGTTTAGGCGTTGTTGAATACTTGTTTCAATTCTTCGATAGATTTAAATAACAAATATAGCACCTTTTAAAATGACGTAGGTATTAAACGTATTAATATTCTAAGATAACAATATGTACATAATTTTGCCTCACTTCTTATACATCAGCGCCGAGTTAACGTTTTTCTTCTTATCAGCACGACATTATCACGTGTTAATTAGTCTTTTATTCATTTGATTTGTATTACTTTCATGCTGCAATTATAGATTAACAAATATTTTATTCGAACTTTAGAAAAAATACCAATAATTTTTAGTTATCTAAATTAATTAAGAGAACTTATCGGAGAGAAACGTCAATTATAAAAAAAAATAGATTAAATTTTTGTGAAAGGCATGACTTTAGGCTGCAATTTGTAGGAATATATTTAAAAATTTTGATTATGTTTAGATCCTGTTAGATCTTGTTGTGCATGTTAGCACATTTTAAGTGGTTATTCAAGATTTAATTTCATTAATGTTATAAAATTATAAATACATAAACAATTTTTACCAAAAAAACATCAAACCGGCAAACATCATCAGCTTTAAAGTGTGCTACATGAACGCAAATATTACCTCAAACTATACTCATACCAATCATTCATTAAACAATCACATTTTCATCATACAGATTTGACTGAACTTATGCGAGCTTGTGATCGAAAGATTTTACAAATATGGATACCGAAATAACTTTAAAAGCCGGTGATGTTTGTCTGGATTGTCAGCAGCAACTGGGTATTGAGAAACGTTTGCGTTATTTTAAAATTAATCTAAATGGTGATACTCTATTGAAATGTGAAAGTAATGAATGTATGTATCCCTACAATGATGAAATGTACTCTACGGATGAAGAACATGAGGAAGAAAATGATCAAAGTCTTAAATTTTTAGACGATTTTATACAACAATATAATAATGAAACGGCGGCACAAGATAGTCGCAACGATATGCCTAATAGTAGTGAAAATGTTACAACACATTTCGATATAAGTTTTTTGGATAATTTTAATGAAAATCTTTGTAAAACGGAAATTTCCCAAGATAGCAATGAATTTTTGGATAGTAAAACTAATATAGAAATTATAAAAAATGAATTTATAACATTACCACAAAACTCTAAGGAAATTCAAAGCGCCGTTAAAGATAAAATATTTGAAAATAGTTTAGAATCTTTACCCATATTTATATCATTAGTTGGTGATACAAAATCTTCTGTTATTGAAGAAAATAGCAATCAATTATCATCATTTATAAGTTGCAAAGATTACAAACCAAAAATTGATATACAATCAATAGAAACTATTGATATAGAATCACCTTTATATAATATATTACCTACATCATCGAAAAAACTTACCGAAATTTCATCAGTAAGTTCTAATGAACCTTCACAATTAACCAAATCTTTAAAATATTCAAACTCAAACCTACCAACTTCTGTAACATGTACAGAAATTCCATCAACAAGTTCCAGTGCAAAAACTGTAACATCAAAATTATCTTCATGTTCTTTGGAAAAACCAAAATCACTAGAACTTTCACATTCAAATAAAACAACAAGTACCACAGCATCCAAATTATCTTCAACTTCTTCTCAAGCTCCCAAATCTCAAGAACTTTTAACAACTTTAAATTCTCCCCAATCTTCAGACATTTCCTTAAAATCAATCACTCCAGCAGTAGCTCAAAAATCTACTGAAGAAAATCTCACAACTTTATCAGTTAATAGTATACCAAAAGCTAATATTATGAAAGGAAGAGATATTCTCAAGAAATTAGCTATTGTTGATGAGAAAATGTCTAAACAGAATTTTAAAAGTATAAGAAAAAAGAAGAAAATTGCCAATAAAGAAGAAATTAAAAATGAAGAAAAACCTTTGCCTTCCTTTAGTGGTGATATGGACTATAGTTTAGAAAAGATTTCGCAAATGTTATCGGCGAATCGTATGAAGAGACAAAATAATAATTAGTAATAAGAAAATTATATTGTAAATATAAAAATTGAATGTAAATAATACAATTAAAGATAATAGTATAAGAACTAGTAGTTTGTATTATTTTTTTTATTGATTATTTAATTAAATAAACAGAAAGTTTTTTATAAGGAAATATTATTGTTGTTGTGTTCTTTAGTATAATTTTTTTTAGATAATCCAATATTATGAAGAAAAACTTATTCATAGCTTTGTATTAAAAATATAGTATTGACTATAAGAGTCTTGACAATAGTTTGGTCTATAGGCTAGACTATAGTCTTGACTAAAGTCTTGATTATAATCTAGTCTTTAGTCTTGACTATAGTCTCGACTATAGTCTAATCTATACTTTTGATTATAGTCTCGACTATAGTTTGATATATAATCTTGACCATAGTCTCGACTATAGCTCAGTCTATAGTCTAGATTGTAGTCTAGTCTATAGTCTTGATTTTAGTCTATAGTAGTCTAAAGTCTTGACTATAATCTAGTCTATAATTATAGTCTTGACTATAGTTTTGACTATAGTCTAGTATATAGTCCAGTCTATAGTCTAGTCTATAGTCTAGTCTATAGTCTAGTCTATAGTCTAGTCTATAGTCTAGTCTATAGTCTAGTCTATAGTCTAGTCTATAGTCTAGTCTAGTCTATAGTCTAGTCTATAGTCTAGTCTATAGTCTAGTCTATAGTCTAGTCTATAGTCTAGTCTATAGTCTAGTCTATAGTCTAGTCTATAGTCTAGTCTAGAGTCTAGTCTAGAGTCTAGTCTATAGTCTAGTCTATAGTCTTCTTTAAGTTACTTAGTATTCGAAACTAAGATTTATTTGGCCAGTAATTAAATTATACAACGCCATCCACCAATTCTAGCTAGAAAAAACTAGCTCATATGTTCCAATTATAGTAGTCTAGTCTAGTCTATAGTCTAGTCTATAGTCTAGTCTATAGTCTAGTCTATAGTCTAGTCTATAGTCTAGTCTATAGTCTAGTCTATAGTCTAGTCTATAGTCTAGTCTATAGTCTAGTCTAGTCTAGTCTATAGTCTAGTCTATAGTCTAGTCTATAGTCTAGTCTATAGTCTAGTCTATAGTCTAGTCTATAGTCTAGTCTATAGTCTAGTCTATAGTCTAGTCTATAGTCTAGTCTATAGTCTAGTCTATAGTCTAGTCTATAGTCTAGTCTATAGTCTAGTCTATAGTCTAGTCTATAGTCTAGTCTATAGTCTAGTCTATAGTCTAGTCTATAGTCTAGTCTATAGTCTAGTCTATAGTCTAGTCTATAGTCTAGTCTATAGTCTAGTCTATAGTCTAGTCTATAGTCTAGTCTATAGTCTAGTCTATAGTCTAGTCTATAGTCTAGTCTATAGTCTAGTCTATAGTCTAGTCTATAGTCTAGTCTATAGTCTAGTCTATAGTCTAGTCTATAGTCTAGTCTATAGTCTAGTCTATAGTCTAGTCTATAGTCTAGTCTATAGTCTAGTCTATAGTCTAGTCTATAGTGTAGTCTATAGTGCTAGTCTATAGTGTAGTCTATAGTCTAGTCTATAGTCTAGTCTATAGTCTAGTCTATAGTCTAGTCTATAGTCTAGTCTAGTCTATAGTCTAGTCTATAGTCTAGTCTATAGTCTAGTCTATAGTCTAGTCTATAGTCTAGTCTATAGTCTAGTCTATAGTCTAGTCTCTAGTCTAGTCTATAGTCTAGTCTATAGTCTAGTCTATAGTCTAGTCTATAGTCTAGTCTATAGTCTAGTCTATAGTCCTGTCTATAGTCTAGTCTATAGTCTAGTCTATAGTCTAGTCTAGTCTATAGTCTAGTCTAGTCTATAGTCTTAAATATTCCTTCAATGAAATGTTTATTAAAAACATTAACATTTTTTGTTTATTGATTTTGTCATTTCGTGTGTAACCCACTGGTCGTAAAATTGTATATTTTCTAGATTCTTGCAAATTTTTGTTAACGCGATTTATTTAATCGATTTATTAAATACATGTGTTTAAATAAAATTCCGCTGGAAGTCAATGGCATACATTCTAACAAATACAATTTTAGCTCTTATAAGAGAATCTTGAATGTAGTAATATCTTTGAAACCTTTTTACCGATAGTGGTCATTGCTATTATTTTTAAATAAACACTTTGTCTAGTAGTAGTGTAGACTATAAAGAAATGTCTAAGGTTAATTGAATGAAATATATAACACGTAGATAATTACGCATTTTAATTCTCTTTATTGTCATTTAAAATAAAGTGCGCCATGCGCCTCTATCACTCATAACGATTAATTTCTATCTTAAATATACTATATAAAACATTTAAAAATAAAAATAAAATAATGAAACAACTTGGCGGTTAATTAAACACAAATGTATAAAATAAAATAAATATATTTATATATAAATACTAAGTAAATCTTATATATTAAAGAAGAATGACTATTTTAAACGTATGTCTATAAACTTTGCTCTATATTTAAACGAAAAAGTTCATGCTAGAAGATAATATAAATGTAAATATCGTTAGCAGAAATTTAGAAATTTTTAGCAAAATTATTAAAAATATCTTTGTAGTATTAGTCATGACAAAGTATATAATAATTGAAATAAACTTTTAATTAGTTCTTCTTTTGGTTTTGCTAACGATATGTTTATTTCTTCTGGTTATTATTAATACGCATCAGTGTTTATATATTCGATATATACATATGTCTGGCATTTAAAGATACAATAAATTCACAAATATTTTACCTATATTTTTTTCTGTTCAATATTAATTTGACGTCATTTAAAAGATATTTTTTGTACTTTGAAAATTTGAAATTTTAATAAGTATACACCAAAAATTGGATTATTTCTTTCTATGTATGAGTGAGTTACTGTTTAAATACCCTTCACCCATGGTGATAAGAGTTTTAGATTAAGGTGCAATATCAATAATCATTCATAATTTTCGCAATATTAATTTACGTTTTTATATTAGATTTATACTTACTATAGTTCTTTTCAGATCGAAAAAGTAATTTCAGCGATAATCGATTGCTTGAGGTAGCCAGATATAGAAATCAGAAACTTTTAACAAAAAATTTGTTAATAATTATATATTAAAAATTACGCTAATTTATTTGCCAATCGCGTCAAGTGAGCTTTACCCAGAGGTTTTTTTATGAAAGTTTTTTTGTTTTAAATGTTTTTTTAATGAAAAGCTTTTTCATATTAAGTTTTTCTTTAATAGCTATTTTTATAAAAAACTTTTCTCATAAAAACATTTTTTTCTCATAAAGCTTTTTTTGTAATACGTTTTACATAAAAAGCTTTTTTCATAAACGATTTTAAAATATTTTTTATGAACAGCTTTTTTCATAAAAGCTTTTCACAAGAATTCTTTCATAAGAAGTTTCTTAATAAAAAAAGAGCTTTACCAAAAAAGCTTTCTTATGAAATGTTTTTGTTATAACCTTTTTTATGTTATAAGCTTTTCATAAAAACCTTTTTTGTTATAAATTTTTCATAATAAGTCTTGCATAAAAGTATTTTAAAGCTTTTTTGTAAAGAGTTTTTTCATAATAAGTTTTTCTTTAATAGCTATTTTTATAAAAAACTTTTCTCATAAAAACATTTTAAAGTTTTTTCTGCCGTTTTTTCATAAAAGCTTTTTGTGAAAAAAATTTTAGCAAAAATTAGTTTAATGTGGTAGTATGTATTTAAAATTGCGCTTACTTGCCAATTGTTACCAAGAGTTTTTGTCATGAAAAGATTTTGTGAAAAGCTTTTTTGTAATACGTTTTACATAAAAAGCTTTTTTCATAAACGATTTTAAAATATTTTTTATGAACAGCTTTTTTCATAAAAGCTTTTCGCAAGAATTCTTTCATAAGAAGTTTCTTAATAAAAAAGAGCTTTACCAAAAAAGCTTTCTTATGAAATGTTTTTATTTTAACCTTTTTTATGTTATAAGCTTTTCATAAAAACCTTTTTTGTTATAAATTTTTCATAATAAGTCTTGCATAAAAGTATTTTAAAGCTTTTTTGTAAAGAGCTTTTTCATAAAAACATTAATAAAAAAGCTTTCTCGAAATTTTTTATGAAAGGCTATTTTTAAAATGATTTTTCCATTAAAAACTTTCTATATAAACTTTTTAAATTAAAAAAAAAATAATTTTGAAACCATAAAAAAGCTTACTTAGCTTTACCAAAACAGCTTTTTTATGAAAAGCTTTTGTTATAAACTTTTTTATGTAAAGCAGCTTTTCATAAGAAGCCTTTTTCGTCATCAGTTTTTCATAGAAAGCTTTTTTCGATATAAGTTTTTCATAGGAAGCTTTTGCGTTATATGTTTTTCATAAAAAGCTTTTTTTAAGCTTTTATATAAAAAAGTTTTAATTTTTTTTTTAATATAAACAGCATTTTCATAAAAATTTGAATAAAAAAAGCTTTTTTTGAATTTTTTTTTTAAAGTATTTATAAAATGATTTTCTCATTAAAAGCTTTTCTGAATAAACTTTAAGTATTGAAGTGTGTTTAAAATTCGGTTAAGCATACTGGCAATTCAACTTGTTTTTTTTTCATATAAACAAAAAAACTATTTTTAGATTTTTTGAATTTCGAAAAGACGCACTTTTTTAATTTGTGTTTTTTTTATACATTTTTAATGAACTATATAATGTATGTAGATGAAATGTGTTTAATTGTGTTAAGAATTTAGTATTTTATGAGATTTAAAATTAGAATTGTATAACAAAAGTATTTGTTATCATTTCGTAGGCAAACATATGTATGTATGTACATACCAACATACACAAATAAATGCATTTTTTTCCTTAGTTGATAAAAATGATAAACAATTTAATTAAATAATAGCTCGTATATGTACGCCAAGCACATGATCAAATATGTATGAGTATAACAAAATAACAAATATATTAGTACAACGTGATGTACTTGCTATTAAGTGTTTTCAAAAGTAAAAAAGAAAATTTTCTGGATTTAACAAACCCCCGATTAGGTAGAGAGAAACCTCATAATGTTGTATAGATATTGAAATAACTACCTGTTACTAATAACCTATTGCTTAAGCAAATATACAGTGAATCAATTAAGTAATTTGCCTATGTAAAATTTTATAAATTTTAAGAAAAAAACTT